GGTAAAACTGTGTGCAAATAAAACATTTGGTTATTAGAGAAACATTTTGAGACCTCAGTGTGTCAACAGAGGCCATTAGGATTGATTTAGAGTGATTTATATGCATTTATTTTCGATCGCAAAAACGGGTAACCATTGACTTGCATTATACTAATCATCAAGAGCCCTGAATTTAGCTAAAACTCATCTGTAATGTTACTCCAAAGGCACTAAAAGTCATTTCAAATGACCCGAGAGCGAGCTAATCAACTCTAAATGTGTATTTTTGAGTGAACTACCCATTTAAAGAATGATTTTGATTCAGTCGCTGTTATTTTCGCTGACTGTTTTTTTGATGTAAACAGGTAAAACTTTGTGCAAATAAAACGTTTGCTTATTAGAGAGACATTTTGAGACCTCAGTGTGTCAACAGAGGCCATTAGGATTGATTTAGAGTGATTAATATGCATTTATTTTCGATCGCAAAAACGGGTAACCATTGACTTGCATTATACTAATCATCAAGAGCCCTGAATTTAGCTAAAATCTTCTTTAATGTTCTCCTGAAGACAGAAAACGTCATCTTTAATGACGCATAATTGAGTTAATCAACTCTAAATGTATATTTTTGAGTGAACTATTCCTTCTATAGAACGATTTTGACTTGTTATTTTCCTTATTTTTTATGTAAACAGATAAAACCGAGTGTGCAAATTAAGACATTTGGTTATTAGAAAGCGTTTTTGAGACCTCAGTGTGACATCAGGACCCATGTCTATTGATTTGGACTTGTTTATATGCTTTTATTTTTATCGCAAAAACGGGTAACCATTGACTTGCATTTATACAAATCAACAAGCACCTTAAATTTAGCTAAAACTCATCTTTAATGTTCCTCCAAAAGCACTAAAAGTCATTTCAAATGACCCGAGAGCGAGCTAATCAACTCTAAATGTGTATTTTTGAGTGAACTACCCATTTAAAGAATGATTTTGATTCAGTCGCTGTTATTTTTGCTGACTGTTTTTTTGATGTAAACAGGTAAAACTTTGTGCAAATAAAACGTTTGCTTATTAGAGAGACATTTTGAGACCTCAGTGTGTCAACAGAGGCCATAAGGATTGATTTAGACTTGTTTATGTGTTTATTTGCGATCGCAAAAATGGGTAACCATTGACTTGCATTATACTAATCACCAAGAGCCCTGAATTTAGCTAAAATCTTCTTTAATGTTCTCCAGAAGACAGAAAACGTCATCTTTAATGACGCATAAGTGAGTTAATCAACTCTAAATGTATATTTTTGAGTGAACCATCCTTCTATAGAACGATTTTGACTTGTTATTTTCCTTATTTTTTATGTAAACAGATAAAACCGAGTGTGCAAATTAAGACATTTGGTTATTAGAAAGCGTTTTTGAGACCTCAGTGTGACATCAGGACCCATGTCTATTGATTTGGACTTGTTTATATGCTTTTATTTTTATCGCAAAAACGGGTAACCATTGACTTGCATTTATACAAATCAACAAGCACCTTAAATTTAGCTAAAACTCATCTTTAATGTTCCTCCAAAGGCACTAAAAGTCATTTCAAATGACCCGAGAGCGAGCTAATCAACTCTAAATGTGTATTTTTGAGTGAACTACCCATTTAAAGAATGATTTTGATTCAGTCGCTGTTATTTTTGCTGACTGTTTTTTTGATGTAAACAGGTAAAACTTTGTGCAAATAAAACGTTTGCTTATTAGAGAGACATTTTGAGACCTCAGTGTGTCAACAGAGGCCATAAGGATTGATTTAGACTTGTTTATGTGTTTATTTGCGATCGCAAAAATGGGTAACCATTGACTTGCATTATACTAATCACCAAGAGCCCTGAATTTAGCTAAAATCTTCTTTAATGTTCTCCAGAAGACAGAAAACGTCATCTTTAATGACGCATAAGTGAGTTAATCAACTCTAAATGTATATTTTTGAGTGAACCATCCTTCTATAGAACGATTTTGACTTGTTATTTTCCTTATTTTTTATGTAAACAGATAAAACCGAGTGTGCAAATTAAGACATTTGGTTATTAGAAAGCGTTTTTGAGACCTCAGTGTGACATCAGGACCCATGTCTATTGATTTGGACTTGTTTATATGCTTTTATTTTTATCGCAAAAACGGGTAACCATTGACTTGCATTTATACAAATCAACAAGCACCTTAAATTTAGCTAAAACTCATCTTTAATGTTCCTCCAAAGGCACTAAAAGTCATTTCAAATGACCCGAGAGCGAGCTAATCAACTCTAAATGTGTATTTTTGAGTGAACTACCCATTTAAAGAATGATTTTGATTCAGTCGCTGTTATTTTTGCTGACTGTTTTTTTGATGTAAACAGGTAAAACTTTGTGCAAATAAAACGTTTGCTTATTAGAGAGACATTTTGAGACCTCAGTGTGTCAACAGAGGCCATAAGGATTGATTTAGACTTGTTTATGTGTTTATTTGCGATCGCAAAAATGGGTAACCATTGACTTGCATTATACTAATCACCAAGAACCCTGAATTTAGCTAAAATCTTCTTTAATGTTCTCCAGAAGATAGAAAACGTCATCTTTAATGACCCAAGAGTGAGTTAATCAACTCTAAATGTATATTTTTGAGTGAACTATTCCTTTATAGAACGATTTTGACTTGTTATTTTCCTTATTTTTTTGTGCAAATTTAGACATTTGCTTATTAGAGAGCGTTTTTGAGACCTCATGTGATGTTTATGTGACATCAGGACCCATAGCTATTGATTCAAACTTTTTTATATGCGTTTACTTTTAATGTCAAAAACGGGTAACCATTGACTTGCATTATACAAATCAACACGCACCTTAAATTTAGCTAATAATCATCTTTAATGTACCTCCGAAGGCACAAAAAGTCATCTTAAATGACCCAAGAGTGAGTTAATCAACTCTAAATGTTTATTTTTGAGTGAACTATCCCTTTAAAGAACAATTTTGACTTGTTATTTTCCTTATTTTTTTACATAAACCGGTAAAACCAAGAGTGCAAACTGAGACTTTTGGTTATTAGAGAGCGTTTGTATTTCCTCCGGCTCTCCGCTTTCTAGTAACATCCATCAGAGTGAATAAAGCATCTATATTTACTTGGCCCTAATTTGTTTTTATGCTCTGTAATTGCCTCTTCGCCGCTGAAACCTCGGTTTGTGAACAGAATGAAACAGGTCATTATGTGCATCCACTCGTCGATGCTTTAGTGTTTCCTATTGGCGTATATGTGATTGAACAGCACTTACAGAGACACTTTAATGAGTCACTCGCTCAGATACTGCATTTCTTCTGCTTCGGAGTTTCACTAAACTGATCATCAAATGAGTCTTGTGTGACCGGAGAGCAGATCATGAGATAATTCACCTGACTTTCAAAACTTGTTCTGCGTAATTGAAGGTTAATCTGATTGATGAGCTTCATTGTGCCTTTTGTGAATTGGTTCGTCTTTTGAGGACAGAGCAGAAAAGCTTATCTATACGAGTTATTTATTTTTTTGGTTATTCATTATAAAATTATTTTATTTTAAAGTCGTATTGCCTGCAGCATGAGAAATGTGTTTGAATATTTAATTTAATATTTAATTACATTTTTATTTTATTTTTTTATGACATGGCATAATAATCTTAATAAATTTAAATAATAAAATGAATAAATAATATAATAAATCTGTTATTTGTTATAATTAAATAACATTTTTATTTATTTTATTATATTTAAATGTATTATGCCATGCCATAAAATAAAATAAAAATAAATTAAATTAAATATACAAACACATTTCTCATGTAGCAGGCGTTAAGAAATTTTAAAATAATTTATTATATTGTTAAAAAAAAAATGTCTTGATGCCTGCAGCCAGAGAAACATGTTTGTAGGTTTAATTTAATTAAATTTTATTGCATGGCATAGTACATTTAATAAATTCAAATATAAAATAAATAAATAAATAAATAAATAAACAAATAAATGCGTTATTTATTATATTATTTTATTTATTATTTATTATTAATTTAATTGCATTGCATAATGCATTTAATAAATTTGTATGTAATAAAATAAATAGGTATTAAATATAATAAATTGGTTATTTATTATAAATTGTTAATGTCTTAATGGCTGCAGCATGATAAATGTGGTTGTATATTTAATTTAATTTAATTGTACATAATGTTCAATAAATTTAAAGATTCTAAAATAAATTTCATAAATTGGTTATTTGTTATAATATTATTTTGAAATGTCTTAAAGCCCGCTGCATGAGAAATGTTTAAATGTTTAATTTAATTAAATGTTATTGCATGACATATTACAATTAATAAATTTAAATATAATAAAATAAATAATATTATAATAAACAACATATTTGTTTTATTTATTTTAAAATGTCTTATTACCTGCAGCATAAGAAATGTGTTTGTATATTTAATTTAATTTAATCATTTTCCAGTTTATTCATGACAATTAGCATTTGTATAATGTTATTATTATTTGCAGTTTTATTTATTAGTTGCATAAATATATTTGTTTAATCAAAACGAGTTTAGATTTGTCCATCTGTCTGGTTTTGGAGACGTATGCATCACCAAATGCTAATAATTCAGGGGGGCTAAAAATGTGACTTCAACTGTGGTGTTGACGTATATATATATAATGCAAATGTTTTAAATTATATATATATATATATTTGCCCACTCCAGATGTCCTCTACAGAATAGATTAAAATGCATTGATATTCTTCTTCAAGGCTTTTTACTATCAGCAGCTTGAATATGAATTGTAAACAGCACAAGCAGATACATTTTTCATGGTCAAATCTAATCTCTTAAATGCCCTGAATGCTGTAGAATGTTAAGACACTGAATATTACCTCTCGCAAAAACAAATGACCTCTACAGGGACCTCAGGAGCTCAAGAGCTTGTAAATTTAATATTTAATCACTCTTTTGTGTCCTGTTTTTTCCACGCAGGCATTTTTCCAGGGTAAACTGAAGATTACTGGCAACATGGGAATGGCAATGAAACTTCAGAACCTCCAGCTGCAGCCAGGGAAGGCCAAACTGTGAGTGGGCGGAGCCAAGATGCAAGGGGAGGAGGAGTCAGTCAGGAAGAAGGCGGAGCTTCAAGTATAGTTCACTCTAATAGAGTAGCTGCACAGGAGTCAGTGTTTTTCCACTGTAGCGTTCAGCCTCTGTCTAATACGGTTAAAGAATAATTCACCCAAAAATACAACTGGACATCATTTGATGGCACTGTTAAAAGGATAGTTCACACGAAAATATTAATTCTGTCCTCATTTACTCAATTCTCATTATGAGTTGAACACAAAAGAAGATAAACCTGTAACCATTGACTTCCTTAGTAGGAAAAATAAATATTGCAGAAGTCAATGGTTACAGTTTCAGCTTTCTTCCAAAACTGGAAGTCAAACACATAAGAAAGAAACTCAAAGTTTTGGAACCACTTGAGAGAGAGTAAATAGTGAGTACATTTTCATTTTTGTGTGAAATATACCTTTATGTGTATTTTACAAGGAATAGACCACCATGATGAACTTTATACGTTAAGTTAATGATATTCGGAGTTTCACTAAACTGATCATCAAATGAGTCTTGTGTGACCGGAGAGCAGATCATGAGATAATTCACCTGACTTTCAAAACTTGTTCTGCATAATTGAAGGTTAATCTGATTGATGAGCTTCATTGTGCCTTTTGTGAATTGGTTCGTCTTTTGAGGACAGAGCAGAAAAGCTTATCTATACGAGTTATTTATTTTTCTGGTTATTCATTATAAAATTATTTTATTTTAAAGTCGTATTGCCTGCAGCATGAGAAATGTGTTTGAATATTTAATTTAATATTTAATTACATTTTTATTTTATTTTTTTATGACATGGCATAATAATCTTAATAAATTTAAATATTATAAAATGAATAAATAATATAATAAATCTGTTATTTGTTATAATTAAATAACAATTTTATTTATTTTATTATATTTAAATGTATTATGCCATGCCATAAAATAAAATAAAAATAAATTAAATTAATTATACAAACACATTTCTCATGTAGCAGGCGTTAAGAAATTTTAAAATAATTTATTATATTGTTAAAAAAAATGTCTTGATGCCTGCAGCCAGAGAAACATGTTTGTAGGTTTAATTTAATTAAATTTTATTGCATGGCATAGTACATTTTATAAATTCAAATATAAAATAAATAAATAAATAAATGCGTTATTTATTATATTATTTTATTTATTTTTTTATTATTAATTTAATTGCATTGCATAATGCATTTAATAAATTTGTATGTAATAAAATAAATAGGTATTAAATATAATAAATTCAAACACAGGAATAGACCACCATGATGAACTTTATACGTTTAGTTAATGATGCTAGGTTTTATTTTTGGGTGAATTATTTAATTGAATCCTGTGATTCTGGTAGATGGTTATAAAAATGAAATTAATACTGTTGCTAATCATTTTGATATCTTTGATGCTGTCATTTTGATGGGTCACTGTTTCAGTTGTATGCATGTGTGGATTGGTTTTCCCCAAATATTTTCTTGTGGTGTTTAAAAAGTGCCTGAAGTGTGTGTTTGAATCAGGCTAACACACGACTCTAAACACAGCAAATATTCTGCTCATCAGTATTTCGCTATGTTTTCCAATAAAAACCAAGAAACATTCTCAAATCAGTGTAGGTTTTCTTGAGAAGCAAACTGAAGTCTTGTTTTCTAGCTTAAAAATTAATCAGAACTTTGATTAGCAAAAATAAAAGTGGCGTAACACTAAATTAAAAAGGCAAACAAATCAATATTTCTAACTCTTCTGATAAATGTTTGATCTTGTTTTGAGATTAATCAGAAAACATGACGTTTAAAAAGACATTAAAAGGTTTGTACAAGAAAACAACAACAAAATACTAATCAAGAAAGCCACACACATTTTTACTTGCAGTTTGATTTGTGGCTTTGATAGATAGATGCCTTGTTAACATCTTTTACAGCCTTGAGATTAGTTTTCTTTCATCTTTAGAGACGCTCCAGGCTTATTCATCTATACTCTTGATGAAACGGCACCAATTATAAATATATATCCATCAAATGAGTGCATGGATATATTTATAGTGTCCTACAGGTATCATGTCTTTCATGCTGAAACACTTTTGTACTAAATAAACTGATCTTTCGCATTAAAATGGGATGGGTTTTTTTTTTCAGTTTCTTCACAAATGGCAACAGTCTGATCAAAATAATATGCTAAAAGCCCCTCAGTCTTGAGTTTATTGCTCTCTTTTTAGTCACTTCAAAAATCACTAATTTGATTGTTGTTTTAAAGATTCAGTAAACCATTCTCTCCACTAGAGGGAGTGTATAAATATATATCTCCATTAAATAAGTGCATGGATATATTTATAGTGTCCTACAGGTATTATTAGAGCATCTTTTCATGTGTGTGTCTCCCTCTCATGCCTGTCATGCTAAAACACTTTTGTACTAAATAAACCTGATCTTTCGCATTAAAATGGGATGTTTTTTTTTTTTTCAGTTCCTTCACAGATGTTGAAAGTCTGATCAAAATAAGATGCTAAAAGCCCCTCGGTCTTGAGTTTATTGCTCTCTTTTGAGTCAAGTCAAAAATAACTAATTTGACTGTTGTTTTAAAGTCACAGTACACCGTTCTCTCCACTAGAGGGAGTGTATTCACAATAAACAAAGGTGTATTTTGATGACTGTCTTACAAATATTTTGCTGTGGGGTTTAAAACAGTGTGGGTTTGCTTTGAAAGTGCCTGAAGTGTGTGTTTGAATAAGGCTAACAAAGAAAGATGAATGCCTTGTTAAAATATCTGACAGTCATGAGATTTGTTCTCTTTCATCTTTATAATCGCTTTAGGCTTATTCGATTACACTGTCTTGATGAAATGGCACCAATTATAAATATATCTCCATTAAATATGTGCATGGATATATTTATAGTGTCCTACAGGTATTATTGGAGCATCATTACATGTGTGTGTCTCCCTCTCTTGTCTGTCATGCTCAAACACTTTTGTACTAAATAAACCTGATTTTTCACATTAAAATGGGATGTTTTTTTTTTCCAGTTCCTCCACGGATGTTGAAAGTCTGATCAAAATAAGATGATAAAAGCCCCTCTGTCTTGAGTTTATTGCTTTTTTTTGAGTCACTTAAAATAAAAACTAATTTGATCCTTGTTTCAAAGTCGCAGTACACCATTCTTTCCACTAGAGGGAATGTATTCACAATAAACAAAGGTGTATTTTGATGACTGTCTTACAAATATTTTCCTGTGGTGTTTAAAACGGTTCGGGTTTGCTTTGAAAGTGCCTGAAGTGTGTGTTTGAATAAGGCTAACATGAAAAAGATGAATGCCTTGTTAAAATATTTGACAGTCATGAGATTTGTTCTCTTTCATCTTTAGAGTAGCTTTAGGCTTATTCGATTACACTGTCTTGATGAAACGGCACCAATTATAAATATATCTCCATTAAATATGTGCATGGATATATTTATAGTGTCCTACAGGTATTATTGGAGCATCATTACATGTGTGTGTCTCCCTCTCTTGTCTGTCATGCTCAAACACTTTTGTACTAAATAAACCTGATCTTTCACATTAAAATGGGATTTTTTTTTTCAGTTCCTCCACGGATGGTGACAGTCTGATCAAAACAAGATGCTAAAAGCCCCTCGGTCTTGAGTTTATTGCTTTTTTTTGAGTCACTTCAAAAATAATTAATTTGATCATTGTTTTAAAGTCACAGTACGCCATTCTCTCCACTAGAGGGAGTGTATTCACAATAAACAAAGGTGTATTTTGATGACTGTCTTACAAATATTTTCCTGTGGTGTTTAAAACGGTGCGGGTTTGCTTTGAAAGTGCCCGAAGTGTGTGTTTGAATAAGGCTAACAAAAAAAAAGATGAATGCCAGGTTAAAATATTTGACAGTCACAAGATTTGTTCTCTTTCATCTTTAGAGTAGCTTTAGGCTTATTCGATTACACTCTCTTGATGAAATGGCACCAATTATAAATATATATCCATTAAATAAGTGCATGAATATATATTGATAGTGTCCTACGGATATAATTGTAGCATTATTTCATGTCTGTGTCTCCCTTTCATGTCAACAAATTTTGAGTTTATTGCTCTCTTTTGAGTCACCTCAAAAATTACTAGTTTGATCGTTGTTTTAAAGGCGCATTACGCAGTCTCTACACTAGAGGGAGTGTTTTCACAACAAACAAAGGTGTATTTTGATGACTGTCTTAAAAATATGTTCCTGTGGTGCTTTAAAAGTGCCTGAAGTGTGCGTTTCATTAAGGCTAACTGCATTTTTTGCTGTTGATTTGTGGCTTTAATAGGTGGATGAAAAAAAAATGGAGGACTTAAAATCTTTGACAGTCGTGAGATTTGTTCTCTTTCATCTTCAGGTCGCTCTAGGCTTTTTCATCTATACTCTCTTGACGAAACGGCAACAATTATAAATATTTATATCCATCAAATGAGTGCATCCATATATTTACAGTGTTCTACAATGTTTTTAGAGTCGCTTTAGGCTTTTTCGATCATCGTCTCTTAATGAAACGGCACCAATAATACATAAATATCCATCAAATGAGTGCACGGATATACTTAGTGTCCTACAGGTATTATTGGAGCATCATTTTATGTGATGTATTTCATGTCAACACATTTTGCCCAAAGACATGCAGTACAGGTGAATTGGGTAAGCTAAAATTGTCCATAGTGTAAGTGTGTGAATGAGAGTGTATGGGTGTTTTCCAGTGATAGGTTGCAGCTGGAAGGACATCCGCTGTGTAAAACGTATGCTGGATAAGTTGGCGGTTCATTCCACTGTGGCGACCCCTGATTAATAAAGGGACTAAGCCGAAGAGAAAATGAATGAATGATTTTTAAAGGGCACCTATGGTGAAAAATCTACTTTTCAAGCTATTTGGACAAACGTGTATATATAGTGTATAGACCATCATATTGGGGTGATATAAACACAACATAAAAACGGTGGACCAATTGGAGCGGTTTTCAGACCGACCGCAACTTTACATAGGAGTGCGGTCCCCCCGCCCACCGAATTGATTGACAGCTGTGTGCATTAATTTGTCCCTGTAGTCACGTGTATATGTCAACAAGACCAGGCAGACATGCGCAAAGCAACCGGGAATAAAAGGTCTGTTCTGTTCGCTAGGATCAGCAATCATCATCAAATTGGATTAAGAGTAAGTTTCACATGTTTAAAGTGTTTTAAAACAGTGCTCGTGTGTAATGAAGTACAGCAATTTACTTCAGATTTACTTCATCAGCACAGCCGCGTGTCAGAACAATTACTGTATAAAAGAAGAAGCTTCAATCCCTGTTTGTGGACGTTAAATCAGGTTTATTTTGTACAATAACATAAGATATCCACACAGCAGTGGAGGTTAGCCTGTATCCTGTCACATTTGAGTGCAAAAACAGTGCAAAGCTAAGCGCCTGTGTTTGTCAGCTGCGGTGTGTGTGTGTGTGTGTCAGCTGCGGTATGTGTGTGTGTGTGTTTGTGCGTGAACGTTGTAACGATATTGCATGTGACTCATCAATGCAACTTCACAACAAATACTGATTAGTAAAGCTCTTACTGTAGTGTTTCTTACAAACGCTACGCAACACCTTCTTCCTTTAAGTCTGTCTGTTGTCTGACGCAGCCGAGAGAGGAGATTAAGGCCGTATACTCACACTAGGTACAGTTGCCTCGAACCGGGCCAAAGCACGCTTGTCCCCCCTCCCGTCTCCCCCGACGGCCCGCGCTCACACCATATCGGGCCTCGGCGCGCTTACGTCATCGCTGCTGCTCTGTTCAGTGAAGCGCTCTCTATGGCAAGCCTTTTTAGCATTTAAATCTTTGTTCTGACTCCATAAATATATTTAGAGATATCTCTAATTATATTTTGACTAGTCATAATTATAATTCCATTACTCAGAATGACAATTAGAGATATCTGCAATTACAATTGCACTAGTATGAAATCAGATTGGAGATATCTGCAAATATATTATGACTAGTCATATTCCTCCATTGACTTCCATTGAAAAATATTTGCAGATATCTCTAAATGAGTTTTGACTAGTCACAATTGTAATTAGAGATATCTCTAACTGAGTTTTTACTAGTCATAATACATTTAGAGATATCTTTAATTCGTCATATTTAGAGATATTTACAAATATATTTGAAGATATCTCTAATTAATTTACTAATAGTCGAATTACAGTTGTAGATATCTTGAATTGGATTTTTGACTAGTCAAAATTCTTTTGGAGATATCTCTAATTACAATTGTGACTAGCCAAAACTTATTTAGAGATATCTGCAAATATTTTTTAATGGAAGTCAATGGAGGAATATGACTAGTCAGTCATAATAAATTTGCAGATATTTCCAATCTGACTAGTCGAATTATAATTATGACTAGTTGAAATATAATTAGAGATATCTCTAAATATATTTATGGATAGTCAGAACAAGGTTTAAATGCTAAAACGGCTTGCCATACGCTCTCACCCAGTAGCACAGTGGAGATTTCTGTAGTTATATCGTTTCAGTTTGAAATGTAGTGACATGCAGTCAAATATTTCGCCAAACAGTCCTTAGGGATGCGGTGACACGCAGTCAGATATTTCATTGGACCGATCTGCCACTTTTGGCGCTCATAAACAATCATAAAGCTCTAGTGCTGCAGGAATGAGGAGGTCTGCTGAAGGCGCGCAGCTGACGTGCAGTGAGGAGTTCTCGTCTTTAATAAACTACAGCAGTTTGCGTTCACTGAACAGTAAGAATGATTAATAAATCCATGTAACAACCCACTTAAAAGTCACGTATCGCTTTCAGGTTCGGGCTTTGGCACGTTTTGCACTCACACAGAAGCGTACCGCGCCAAAGCCCAAGTGATCCGCGCTCAGGCACACCTCTTCCAACAGGGCCAGGGCCGGCCAAGTGAACCGTGCTTGAGCCCGATTCAGCGCACTCACACTTCTCAAACGATCCGGGAAACGGGCCTGGCCACGGTACGGATGGCATAGTGTGAGTAGGCCCTAAAGCACATGGGAAGGCAAGTAGAAACAGTAGGCGGGGAAGACTCATCTTAAAGGCGCAGTACGACAAAACCACTGC